GATTTTCAAGTGCTAGGAAGAGTAGATTTAATGTTGTCGGCAATCGACATTCGCATAAAATTCAAACATAATCTGTTAGACCTTACCCAAGCCTTATGGTGTGCTTTTTCAGCCTCCGTACTAGTGGCATTAAGGTCGACAGGTTTATCCTCTAACAACGCCAAGTCAAGATCCAAAGCACCTAAATGGAAAGTGACTTGTTCGCTCCATTCGGAGAAATTCACACCAGCAAACAAGGTAACGAAAGATGCTTCGAGAATGAAGGCTAATAGCTACAAACATATAAACACTCACTAATTAACGTATTCGGCATGTAAAGCATATACATTAAATATATTGCGAGTTTCCTTTGGGTAAACACAACAATACATATCATCACTATCATTCAGATGCCATTTAGACTTTATAAGAAATTAAATAAATATTTTTCAAATACATATAGCATCTTTGGATAACTATATATATGTAACAAGAGTATATCAATTTCTTCATTTATATTTATTAGTTATAGAACATTGATTTACCTTTGGGTAAAGTCCTTAATTTCTATCAACTAATAAATTTTTAATTTTTAATAGCATTTTATAAAATACATAAATTATATGACCACACATTCAAAATTAATTTGGCCACTTTGGTGACTAACAAATCAATTTAATCATACTCGTCATATATATATAAAAGAAAAATAATTTCTATTAACTAATAAATTTCTATTCTCAATAGCATTTCATAAAAAATACATAAATTATATGATCACACATTCAAAATTAATTTGGCCACTTTGGTGACTAACAAATCAATTTAATCATATATATATATATATATATAATGCATACATAATTCATACATACATTCAACAAAAAATAAATTATATATATATATATATATATATATATATATATATATATATATATATATATATATATATATATCATGAACAAGGCCTTGCATGGTGTCATCATGCAAGGCCTTGTATGTCTATATATATACATATAGACATACAATCAACGAGCGCATACAAGGCCGACTACGCAAGGCCTTGCATGGCTAATCAAGGGCGGCATCCAACGCCGCCTTACATCCGATACTGCTCGTCGATTGTCGGCAGCGGCAGTAGTAATAAATTTATTTATTTATTTATTTATTTTTTATATCAATAATCTAAGGATTATTATCTATTCAAAACTTAGGCTCGATACCACATGTAAAACTAACTTTCATGCTTAAAGATCAAAACATAAATCATTCTATGCAATAATCAAGACATAAATCATTCATGCCCATTCAGGATCTTGAATAAAATAATAATCACATAAGTAAAGCGAATAAATTACTTATCTTGAGAACCTTATAAATTAGTTTCTCTCCCTCGACCCTCTTTTCCGTAGCGAGTGGCTTGATGGATAGCCAAAATACGTGCGTTCGTATTTTTTATGTTTTTGTCTCAATACTACTTTAGGATAGAGAGAGGACTAGTTTATATACCTGTTAATATTAAATCTTGTACGTCCATCAAGTACTAAATTAACGGTCCAGATTTAACATACTATTAAATTAAGAAAACCCTAAACCAACTTAATATGGGCTTACATAAAATATGGGCCATAACATCGAGCCATATTTCTTACATTACCACCTTAATTTTATATAGATTTTCTCCTTAAATTAATATTGGTTTCATGTGATGCATGATTAAATTTGAGAACTAACAATTTTAACAAAAGGATATTTTAAGAAAGTGTGAATAAAAAAAAAAAAAACTAAAATGACATAACAATCGATAATTGTTCAAGTCGTATGAAAATGTAAAAAAGAAGAAGAAGAAGAAGAAGATCTTTTGAGATAGAAGGAGTACTAATAAATAAATAAAAATTGCTAAAAAAATAGTAATATGTAATCTCACCCACATCCGAACAATATAAAGCCCAAAATTATTTTTTAAAAAATTGACTAGTCTAATTTTTACATGTCTATTTAAAATTAAAGTATATATGTAAACCCCAAATAACATAAAATAAACTTTTTCAATCATTTTAAACCATTATAATACTATATTAATGATTTATTTTGACTATCGAAACTCAAAAAATATTTTAAAAAAGTAGAAAAAATGAAAAAACATTAAAATTCAAAAAAAGATATATAAATGTATTAAAATTCATTAAATTATTAAATTGGACTCTTAGTGTGTGTGTGTGTGTGTTTTTTTTTTTTTTTTTTATCTATGCGAGAAAATCCTTAGTTATTGCCTTAATAACTTTTGACTCCATTGAATCAAAAGATCCACAAAATTGTAAATGTCCCTTTTGACAAACTATACTAACATCAACAAAAATGCTTTAAACAAAAGAATTTATAAAAGCTCGATCCATGCATGTTAAAGTAAGTTGGTCGGTTTATCTTGCTTCCATTTAGGAATGGCAATGGGCGGGGATGGGAAAATTTTACTCCATTTTAGCCTCATGCTCGATGTGGGGTAATATTTCTCATACCATCTCTATCTCGAACGTAAATGAAAATTCTCGTGAGGCACCAATACCCCGTTTAATTTTTTGTTTCCGTTCGTCCCGTTCTATTCTATTATCAAATTTTAAATTATAGCAAAAAAAATGAAAGTTCATATAGAAAATAAACCCTAAAAGTCAATAATCATAGATTTTATATAGAATATAATTGTAATTTCAAGAATAGAGCTGGACAAATACCATCCCCATTCAAAATTAATATGAGGTGGGGCATCCCGTCTTGTTCCTTAGTCAACTCGGAGAATCCTTACGCTAATCGGGACACGACAAATTGTCATCCCTACTTTCATTATGTGTCATACGGTGTCTTTTCATCCACCACAAGTACTATTTTGATTCAAAATTAATACTATTTATTTAAAAACGAGTGCTTGGATTTATTTTATTTTATTTTAGAGATATATACCAAAACCTTGTTATATTAAACCTTTAATCCAAAATGCCATCAAGTATTTTTTATCTAAAAAAAATCATAATAAAAAACACATAGTTTTGGTACAAGAAAGGGTTTTTTAAATACAAAAAATATTTCAATAAAATTTTGTGAAGAAAGTTATTTAAATGGCCATATATTATAGAGTTATATTTGCAATATTAATAAATTTAAGTTACATGTAAAATCATATTTTATTACATATACAATAAATTTCTTCTTCACATGTCGTAGCTGTGAACAAAAGAAGAAGAAGGAGGAGGAATATGCTTATAAATAATTATGCATATAATATAATAAATATAATTATAAATATATTTTATATAAGAATATTATTAATATAAAACCTTTAAAAAGATCCAGAACTCATTAAAATATTTTTATTTCCATAGAAGTCCAAAATTTATTTTTTTTAATACCCAAAAAAAATTCAAATGGGTTAACGGTGCATTAAAAGTCAGATATTTAAATTTTTTAGTAAGAAAGTTTTGTTTCAAGATTGTATGAGTAAAAAGATATTTTGATGGGTTTTTCAATAGAATTATTTTTAATGCGGATTTTTCTAACTAATATTTTATTTTATAGTTAATCGAATGCATATGTAGGTTTCTTATTGTGAGAAAAAGAAAAAAAAACAAAACAAAAAATCTTTTTCTTTTTTCTTTTTTTGTCGTCGGGACAATTTTCTTTGAAATTAATTGTTCCAAAATATTACACGTAAGAAGTTATTATATTATTGCATTAATGTTTACAGTGGAAATAAACACTCCTAATGAGCCAAGTTGCTGATTGGTCGGCCATAGAGATAATTGACCAACACAAATGATGGTCGAACTAAAAACAAACTTTTCTCCATAGAGTTAAGTTCAAGGACCATCAATTGAAGTATAAAAAGTTTAAGGACCAAGTTTAGAGGAACAATGAGGACTAGATCAAATACTTTGTAAACATCAACAGATTAATTGTACTGGCTGAGCGGGCTGCAAGGCGGTGGAAAAGTGGCAGAACAACTTTTGCCTTTTCGGCAATTGATATATTATTATTTTTTTAAATTGCTGCTTGGTTACAGGAACTGAAAATATAAGTTTTATTTCTATTTTATAATTGTTTGATTGAAAAAAATGAAATAAGGATAAAAATTAAAAAAATTTTAAAAAATAAAAATTATACATAACTTCATCTTTATTTAAAAAGGAAGAATAAAAACAATGAGTGAGAATGTAATTTTTTTTTCAAAATAATAATATATCTATTTATTTATTATGTATTAATTATTTTTACTATCACTACTATAACCACGAGCACTATTACCGTTACTACAAACACCACTATAATCATAACCATTACCATCATTATCACCATTAACCACCACAAGTACCTTCATCATCACTACAAGTATTACCACAAGTATCACCATCATCTCCCTCATCTTTATTATTTTTACAATTATTATAGGTTGATAAAATTATTTTTTAATCATTATTTTTATTTGTATAAAAAATCAGATATTAAAAAATTTAAATTTCATTTAAATTTCTTAATGGCATTCCAAACACAATATGAGAATGTAAATATTATTTTGATTTTCTAATTTTCATTATAATGCATTCATATTTCGCACCTTTTATTTTTTGTAATCAAACGATATCTTAATTATTTTATTTGAAACCATGATTTAGAAAGTGATATCTACAGCAATTTATATTCCTAATTAGTCTAGTTCACTCTCAAAGTTTACCTAATTATTAAGTCAATAGTTCATTACAAAAAGAGAAGCATCGTCTTTATAAATATTTGGCCTCGGATATGCAATTATTATCCACACTATTTTTCTTTACAGTTTTATACTTAGCATTTCTTTATCATTCTATTTTTTTTTTTATAACCGTTCTTTATTTTTCTTTACGGTCAATATTAGCTTTTTTAGATTTTTCTGTAATTTTTGTTTGTTAGTTTGTATGATTTTTTTTATCCAAAAAAATCACACTGTTCTTTGGCATATAAAAGGGTGTTAAACTAAGTTATGTTTACTCTCAAAGATACTAGAAGCTGGGATGTGTGCGCTGCAAACTCCCTCTCAATGACGTGAAGCTTATAAAGAAGAATTCGTCGAGTCCGACTTTCATACAAGAATGAAAAAGATATTAAGAACACAAGTATATAAATTATCTATCACTAGTCGCCTGATACTTGAATTTTTGTATGATGTAAAGATGAAGTTTAATCATGAAGTTCTACAGGGTTAGTGGTTATTGAAGAGCTACAATAAACACACATACATACTGATGATTTAATTTAAGGATTAATAGTTCAATCTGTATTCATGTAATAAGATAATTTTTTTGATTTATTTTTATATGTTTAATTAAACTAATTTTATTTTAGAATATATATTAAGTGTTTAATCTATATTTCTGACAAACTTTTAAACTAAATTATCAAAATTAGTCACACGATTTGTATGTGAAAGTCTTCTATTTGATTGGCTTATAAAGATATTTTAAAAATAAAAATTGATTATGTGTAAATCACATTAATAATTCAAATGATTTATCATGAAAATATTGATCAAAAAATTAAATTGAAAACTTAATATATATCTAAGAATAAAATTAACTCAATTAAAAATATAAAAATAAATTAGAAAATTATCTTATTATATAAGGATAAATTAAACCATTAAGCATTAATTTAGCCATCAAAATCGATACCCTATCCAGCTATTGTTTACACACATGTGGGTGTTTGCTCATATTGTATAATGCAACCATCAATATAGCCCACAGATATTCAATTATTTATATAACACTAGCAGTATTTTTCATCAACATGGCCATAGCAAGATAGGAGTTACTGCCAGCGATATCATCGGTGTTTTATTTGTTTATTTCTAGATGCAGATACTTATCAAATCATTTTGCGTTTTGCGTTTGAAATGTTGAAATTGCTTTGATATTTTACTTTTCTTTTGCCTAACTTTTGTAACTATCACTCCAGCACAACAAAGAAAAAAAAACTCTGCTTAGGAAGGCTGAATCCTTGATTGAGAAACATTTAATTTTAAGCTATTTGTCCCACTCATGAAGTTTCTTTGCAAAATTAACTTTATGTTATATGTCTAATTAAGCATCGATTGATTTATTTATTATTTATTATTTTTTTTGTAGTCCATTGACCAGGAAGCTAGAGAAGGAAAGCAGTTTTGACTGCCAAACTGGTGGCACGAGAGAGATACTATCTATGCGGTCAACACAGGAAACTCTCCTGCGGTTGCATGTGCGAAAAGGAATTCAAGCACGGCAACGTTTGCTTCTTTAAGCTTTCCAAAACGCTCTAACATGCCCTCCACTTTCTCTTAATGGCATTTACGTCCTTAAAGGCTGTTTCGTATCCAAGTCCTTTTAAGGTTTTGATCAAGCACGTTAGGAGAACACGTAACAACGTACCCATGATGCAAGCTAATTTGACCAGAAATAATAATTCCAGGGATTGGTTTGGTCGTCAAACGATTTTTTTTATTACCTTTTAAATTTATTAAACTTCTCTAATATATAATATAAAGATGAGTTTTTAAAATCATTTAAAAATCTATTCTCGATTATAAGTAAATTGATGCAATAATACATTTACAATAAAAATAAATAAACACTATCGAGTTGTTGTGGAGGTTCCTTGTGCAGTGGCTGCATATTTGTCCAAGACGATGTATACCCATCGCCTCTTTGAATGAAATTGAACACTTCGTTAAAAAAAAAAAAAATATATATATATATATATATATATATATATATATATATATTATAAGCAGTTTTGGTTAACAACGTTTCTTAGTTTTTCCCTTCAACGATTTTTAATGTTGTAAAATTTTATTTTATTTTTGAGTTAAAAATCCAAAATATCCCTCTACAGCTTTATTTATCTTAATTGTATCCCTCTATTGATTTTTTCAATAATCATATCATTCTATTCTTAATTTGTGTCTTCATTTCGTACATTCAGCCAAATTTTTTGAAAATTGTATCAATTTTCGACGATATATTCACAAGATGCTTACATATAGTATTTAAAAAAAAAATCCTAAACAAAATCCTAAACATTTCTCTTTTTCTCTATTTTTACGTACGTAAATAAATAATTAATTTAATCCCTCAATTTTTTTTTTGCTTTTTCTCAAATTCAAACGAAAAAAGAAATTTTTTTATGTAAAGGAAAGAACAAAAGCAATTATTTATTTATTTATTCATACATTTATTATGAAAATATTTTTCAAATCCAAACAAAAAAAAGAAGAAAATTTTCTCATAACATAAGAATAAAAGCAAAAGGAAAATAAAAAGAAGGACATTTTAGGATTTTTTTTTCAAAATTCATTAACCATTTATTTCTATATCTAAATGTAGAGAAAAAATAGGCATTTTAGAATTTTTTCAAGTTTTTCAGGATAATAACTTGTATATCTCATTAGTTTCTAAATTGTTAATTGCATCCCATCCATCATGAAAATTATTTAAATATTCAATTTGTATTTTTAATCAATTTTTTCTTCTACCATGAATAATTTTTTTTAATTAAAACACCCCGATTAAAATGCAAAAAAATAAAAATAAAAATTAAAGTCACATGATTTACATGTTGAAGTTGTTATTTTTTTATACATTTCAATAAAAGATATTTTGGTATGGTAAAATTTTTTTTTGTCTATAGTAGGAGAAATTAATTAAAAAAAGAGATTGAACATTTAAACAAAATTTTTAAGAACAGAGAAAATACAATTAAAAATGTAAGAACGGATAAGAAACTCGATTTATTATATAAGGATAAATTGAGTTATTTACCATAAGTTTCAAATTTAAAAATTTTTTTATAAAAATTATATAAAAGAGAATATAAAATTATTTTTTGAAACTTCACCATAAATAGTTTAAAATTTAAAATTGAAATGATTATTTAATTACTTGACATTACATGACTGGAGTTCTTTTGCCAAAAATGAATGGTTAAATAAACAAACCGTGATAGCGAAACAGAAGTAAGAAAAAAATGACAATAATCAATCAATATGGACCCTAATTGAATCAGGACCTCTGGTTGGTGCAGTTGTTGCAGAATTTGTAAAGGATTAATCAATAACTTAAAACTGTGTAAAAATGGGAGGTAGAAGTATCAAGTTGCCAGGCACTCGATAGGAGTGCGCTGGCAAGGAGGCAGACCTGCAACGTCATATATAGCAAATCAATTACTAGCCATCTTTTTCACAATTAATTTGATGGAGGTCCAATAGAACGTTGACTTCGAGGACGAATCAGCTGACACGTGGATGATTTATATTGCAGGCTCATTGTTGTTACTGGCAACGTCAGAGAAATATGTTCTAATCACAAGAAACGTAATTCTAATCTTGACATTTTCATAATATGATATTTTTTATTCTTAATTTTTTTTCACTTCACTTTATTTTTTAATTATTTTAATATAATCATTTTAATGATTTTTTGATTAATTTTTCGAACAAACGTCACAAATGACAAACAAATTGACATGTATAATGTCATATCAGATAAAAATATCAAGTGATAAAAAATTTAAAAAAATTAAAATAAAAATGAAAAAAATAGCTAAAAAAATATTTTATAGATAGCAAAACAAAAATCCTAAAATACTAAATTTCAAAATCCCAGGCTCATGTACCACCCAATCAATCAAGCAAAAAATCTTCAAAATCGCTAAAATTTCAATTCATTATCAACGCTTGACTTACAAAAAAGCTAATTACGCAAAGATGCAATCATCACAACCCCAGATCCACCGTCTATATGCTTCTCCGTCTCCTCGGCGGCGAAGATGGCGAGGCGGAGAAGGTGGCCGAGTATAGAGAGGAGTCAGCAAAATGTGCTGCTGTAGTCGAGCAGGCCGTGAGGGAAGTGTCTGATTGGTTTTTATTTTTTATTTTTTACAAGTTGGAGGATGTTGATATGTGGTCAGGAAGGGTAGGAAAAAAATTAAGAGGAAAGCAATCATATTACAAAAAAGAGAGAGATATTTTATGCCATTAATCCCAAATATAAATGATTGATGAAGGATGAGGCAATTAATGCATGTTCTTAGTTATCAATTTATCACCAATTACATGCGTTGCACCATTACATTATCTTAAATCTATCATCACTCACTTCCTGCATGCATATAAGCCTTGAGTTTTAAATTTTTAGTTAGTCAAATTTTCATCGTTGTTTTTTAGACATTCTTTAGTATATAGTAGGTAAGTCTGTTTCATTGTCTGTGTTCAACGAGTCTTCTAATATATTCATTAGTTTCAAATCTAAATATAAAAATCTTCCTCATTTTCATTTGAATAAAATTTCTACGTTAGAACGAAAATAAAAAATAAAAAAACCCACCATCTTGTTCTTAAATTTTATTCAATTCATTTTTTTGTATGCTAAAGAATAAAAATAAGGATAATTATTAAAAAAAATTTCTAAAAAATTATTTTATTTAAAAACTCGTCAATTTATTTTTAAATTTCTCAAATCCAAAATATTTTATTTACCAAAACATCCAATTAGATGTTTTTGTAAGAAAAATATTATTTTAAAAGTTAACCATTAAGTGTTTTGGTAAGAAAAATTATTTTAGATTTAAGAGGTTTAAAAATAAATTGATTAGCTTTTTAAATAAATGACTTTTTAGAGGGTTTTGTGATTATCTAATAATAATCTCATTTCATCATTTTTTATGAGTCTGCTGTATTTGTTTTTCATCTTCAAGTTTAGGTTTTTTATGATTGCAATAGAAAGAAAAAATAAAGTTTCATGAGATTTTTTAATTGTTGACACTCTAACATTCCGCTATTATTTTCTTATTGCATTAAAAAATTTCTTTTGTGGGAGTTTTTATTTTTTTATATCGATGGTTCATTTCATCAACTAAAAAATTAGTTTTACTAACTAACAATTAGAGAAGCCGATGCAATCCAATCATTTAATATTGATGAAATAAGATTCATGTTATTTTCTTATAATCTAATTCAAATGGTATTATAGAAATAAGAAAACTAAGAATTGTATGATTATGAACATTAGTGATTTCCTAAGTCCTCGTGTATTGATAAAGAAACCATCATTCGTAATACTTATTTTTAATTAATCAAAATTAATACTTTTTATCAAATAATTAAATTATATCACGTCATAAATTTATAACATATGTTGGTGCATTAATTAAATAGAACATGGATATCCATGATAAAAATACTTATTTTGAAAGATAATGGTTTCGGTTAAATTATGAATAGTTACTAAAAAAATCTTCTATCTAGAAATCTCATAAATTTATTGTTAAATCTATCAAATCCAAAATATATTTTTTTTATCAAAACATCCAATAATTAATTATGTTAAGTTGTGAGTTAATTATTAGCTGTTTTTTTATACGAAACATATTATTTTGAGTTTGAAAAGTTCAAAAATAAATCAATGGATTTTTTTACATAGAAGATTTAAAAAAAAAAATTCTGGCAATTATCCCATAAAAGTATGATACTTCATAATTATCTTATGCCATTAAGATGTGAATTATCAAATCTAGCCGGTTTAACGGTTCTTAAAATCCCAATCCACTTCTGACCCGGTTTAACCATTTCTTAGCATTTTAAGCCCAATTCTTTATTTGCTGTGTCCGGAAACCTATCTTGATCCATTTTGCTAAACATAAAAAATACTTCACCATCCAATCCTTATCCATCCTTCGTTCATCTCATCTGCGAACATACTATGCTTCCTCGTATTGCTTGAATCTTAATTTTAAACTATAATGGAATACTAAATTAAAGAGTTTTTGATTTCATAATAAGATATTTTTAAATTTTATTTATCATAACAGGATAGTTTTAAATTTATTTATCAAAATAAGATATTCTATGCCATATAAGAATCATCTCATTTATATAACTTGACGTATAAACCTTTTCATTTTAATCATTTTGTTAAATAAATATTTCATCATCACACATTAATCTTTTTTTTTTTTTTTTTACTATTTTCTCTTTGTATTAATATGTTCTTTTTCCTCTTCTTTTCATTCTTTTATATATATATATATATATCTTTTTTTCTTTGCAAAATGATGTAAAATGAATTTCCTAAATTTTTTTATTTACCCAAATAAATCCTTTCCAATAATGTTTCGACCATAAATCTATTGCCAACGGTAGTTTTAAATATTTCAGCTACACCTTGCACAGATATGAAGAAATAGATAATATGGTCATCAATTTTAACTCACAAAGGAGATAAAGTTTGTCAACCTTAATTGGTTTTGACGTGGGTCTTTTTGTTTTTAAATCACATGTTTTTAATCACTTCACACTTTACATTGCTTGGATTTCAATGAAATCTCAAATTGTTTTATCTTGAATTGTATCTAAAGGGGTCCCTTATATCCATTTCTATAATCTTGCATCTTACTTTCTAGTCCCCTTTTAAAAGTTAACAGGGCATAAAAAAAGATGAAATAAAAAAATAAAAACCATGGCTTTCCAAAGTTATAAAAAATGCAACAATTTCTAGTTTTGTAAAGTAGTCAAAGTCTACGATTACAAACAACCTTATATTCTATTTTGCATAACAAAAGGGCTTGAAAATTTCTCAAGTATATTAAAAATTACAAAGGACTTCTTTATAAATTGCACATAATTTATTTCTACTAATTTGAAACTAAATCTAAAAAGAAACAACAGAGAGAGAGAGAGGAGAAAAAAAGCAATGGTATAAAAAACTAGACCTAAATCTCAAAAGAAATTTAGAGGAATAAGAAAAATGAAAAAAAAAATGGGGTTTTGGGGCTAACCATTAGTCACAGTTTGGCTAGTTGCAGTCCCTAAACTCAAAAATGACAAGAACTTTTTTGTTTTTTTTTTCTTTTAAAAAGAGAGTTCTTAGTATTTTTATATATTTTTTAATTAATAAAATACCTAAAATAAAGATGAAGCTATTTAACGTAATGAAATTATTTTTTCAACAATTAAAAAAAATGACGTGAATGAAAAAACATCTCACATGGTAAAAAAAATACCTTTGTTTAAAAATTATGTTTAAAAATACCATACTTAAAGAATAAATATTTAAAAATATATTGGTTTGGAAGAAAAAATCCTAAATTAATGACCTTTGTTTGAGAATTAAGTTTAAAAATACGGTATTTAAGGAATAAATATTTAAAAATATATTGGTTTGGAAAAAGAAACTCCTAAATTAAATCATTAATGGTAAAATTTAAAACAAAATGGTTGTGTTTTTGCTTAAAAACACGGAGAGTATTCAAATCCAAATCAAATGCCTGACACTTTCTCTTATCATTTATTCTTGTAATATTCTGTATATAGAGATTCAACTATGCATCTTTTTAATGCACTAGGACATGGTTGCCAATTTAGTACAAAGCAAGTACATACGTGTCCTTCCAACGAACACCTCCCCACTTTCACTGCGCCTTCCCTCCGTCACCGCGTCTATAGTTTAATCGAAAAAACTCGTTTTTGACCCAGCAGCCAGTTCGGTTTCAAAATACTAGTGCTAAATAAAAATACTTTCCACAAAAAGTAAGAGGAAAAAAGAAAAAAGAAAAAAAAGTTATTCAAAACTAGAAAATTAAATAATTTGAAAAACGTGTGGACGGTGAGATAACCTTTGTAGTACACATCATTTTCTTTCTAGCTTTGTTACGCATGTATGCTTGTATTGTATATATAAATAAGGTAACACAAACACATGATCTGATCAAAGAGAGAAGTAAAAACAGTCAGATAGTTATCCAACTCATCGTTTGCTCTCATTCCATAACGCCTCTTTCTTGGTCTCGGACACCCATTTTCTCTCTCCTCTTCGAAAGCAAACAACCTTTGTAGAGAAAAAGAGAGAGAAAGAAGATGGCACTGACTAAAGAAATCATGGGTGGTCGTTTGATTGATGGATCATCATTTGTACCAGCATCAAAAATGTTGATGAACCAAAGGGTAGGAATGGTTAAAAAGAACCAGTTCTTGGCGAGTCCCCCAGTTCTGCTGCCTTTGCAACAAATTAGACGAAAGGAGCAGGTAAAGAGAGGCGTGAAGGCTCCTGTGGCAGCTATTAGTGAAGATATAATCATGGCTGGTAACAATACTAGTGTGCCTGAAAAGGCAGTGAAATTCAAGGTGAGAGCTGTGGTGACTGTGAGAAATAAACACAAGGAGGACTTGAAGGAGACTATTGTGAAGCACTTGG